ATATATATATATATATATATATATATGTGTGTGTGTTGTTGTTTAGCTTTATTACTTAATATTTCCCCTTTCTACAGCTCTAAGTAGAGGGCGTCGGGCTTCAGTCCGGTGGGACTTTCTGTATTTTAGTTGAATTAAAATAAATTAAAATCATGAAAAACGCTAAATAACAAATATATTTTTGTTTTTTATTTATATCTTTTGGCCAACAAAAATATTATTTTGTTGTTCCTCGTTAAACATTCAACTTTTTTTTCTGTGCAGTACATCCCCGATAAGGGGGCCGCCTGAGAGCAGCCGGCAACGCTGAATGGGGTAAAAGAAAAAAATATTTGTTTAAATAAATAAAATATTAAAATAAATAATACATTTGTTTAATTAAACAATTTTTTATTTAATTGAAGATCATATAACACAGCCGTCTATACTTGTTTCCGCCTCGTTTCAGCCCCAGGTACTCTTTCTACGTTCAACTGTTCATGTGTTGTCTCTGTATCTTTCCTTCTTTTTCTTCTTTCTCTTATTAATTTTTATAATTCTTTTTTCGTTTTCTGCTTCTTCTGCTGCTTTCTGTATTTCTTTCTGAATACAGCCTTTGCTTCTTTGAGCCCCCCCATCCCACCGCCGACCCGTGACACCATGCCACAGCAGCCCGTCCGTTTTTCCTGCAGAAAATCATCAAATACTTCATTTTTAAACAATCACTGACTCATATGCAGCAACATAACTCCAATAAACCACCAAAATGAGCTCAACAGGCGCTCGGGGGGCCCCGGGGGCCCCTGGGGGCGCCGGGGGGGGCCCCTCCTCTGCTGCAGCAACCAGCGCGCCTGGGCGGCCTCTCAGCCGCGTGCAGCAAATGTTGAATGCTTATTATGACCTGGATGAAACAGATGAACTCGAGGCGGCTCCTGAGGGGGCCCCCGGGGCGGCACACAAGCGAGAAGCAGACCCGCTGCAGCAGCAGGAGGAGCAGCAGCAGCAGGAGCAGCAGGAGCAAGTTGGAGCTCAAGAAAGAACTGCTGGTTACCGTTCAAATGCAGAAGGAGAAGGAAAGAAGCCGGCGGCTTCGGGTGTATCTACAGCTTCTTCTGCTGGTGGTGCCTTAAAGAGCGCACTGCAATTTCTGAATGACATTTCATATGTTCCTCAGTCTGTATCCGCTGTGGTGAGCGGGGGCCCCCCTGGCTCCTCTTCTTCTTCTTCTGGGGGGGCCCCCTCTGGTGCTGCTCCTGCTGCCTTGGACCTGGATTCCCCTTCGTTTGACTTGCATGCGTTTTTTTCTGCTGCTGTTGAGCGGTGTTCGCTGCAGCAGCTGCTGCGACTAGCCAATGAACTAGAAGCAGAAGTAAAAGTATTAGAGAGAGATATTCATACTCTTGTATATGAAAACTATACAAAGTTTCTGCATGCAACAGATACAGTGCGTGGGGCCAGCGAATGCATGCGCGAGGTAGAGCAGCAGTTACAGACTCTATCAACACAAGTTGCTGCTATTGAGGGCAGCAGCAACAAACTTATGACGGCTGTGCATGCAAGAGCAGCAGGAATAGAAGAACTTGTTGCTTTCAGACAGCTGCTGCAGCAGCTACAAATCCTCTTCTCTCTCCCGCTGCTGCTGCGGCAGCACCTCAACAGCAACGACCCACAAACAGCACTCCGGGTGTATGAACACTCCCGCCTCTTCCTTGCAGAGCAGCAGATTGCTTCTCCTCACCTGCAGCGGCTGCTGCTTCTCAAACAAGATGCAGACACTGCAGCAAAGTATGCAGTTATGCTGCTGAAGCAGCAGATCGATGCGCCGCACGAAGAAAACACATTCATACAAAACCCAACATATAACAGCAGCAGCAGCAGCAGCAGCAGCAGCAGCAGCAGCAGCAGCAGCAACAACAGCAGTTGGAATGACAGACAAGATACAGCGGGCTCGCAGGAGTGCAGACACCTCGATCTCCAACAGCAGCAGCAGCAGCAGCAGCAGCAGCAGCAGCAGGAGCCGCTTAGTGCTGCAGATGCATCAAAGGTTGTGCGGCTGCTGCTGCGGAACGGCCAAGACCCCCAGGATTTGCTTCGCCTCTTTCAGCGGGGTCGCCGGCATGCAGCATTTGTTGTATTAAGACGCTGCTTCGCCAAGGAGGATCCAGCTGCTGCTGCTGCTCCTGCTGCTGCTGCTGCTGATGATGCTGCTGCTGCTGCTGCTGCTGGTGGGGGCGATGCGGGAGAGGCAGCTATTTCTGTTTCTCCGGCTCGGAGTGAAGGGAGAGGAGGAAAAGTTGCAGCAGCAGACTTGATGTTTGCTGCTGCATGCAACCGGGTGTCTGTACAGTACGTTGAGGTCGTTGCGCATGCAATGCAGGATCTGCTCCTCATATTAAGGTTTCTAGCCCTCACCCAAGCAGAACCCAACAGCAGCAGCAGCAGCAGCAGCAGCAGCAGCAGCAGCAGGAAAGCGGCGTTGCAGCAGCAGAAAGAGGAGTCAGAAGCAGCAAGAGTGAGCCGCATTCGTGCAGCTGTCGATACAGCTGAGAGTATAGATCCTGCGGCAGAGGTAGAGGGGAAAGATATAGGGGGTGTCATTTCATTTTTATGTTGTTTAATTGAGGCTGCTTTCTCTCCTTTATCGGCTCTTATAGCCTCCTCTGTACCTGCAGCAGCAGCAGTCGTGCGGGGCACTGCTGCTGTTGCTGCTGCATTCTCCCGCTGCTTCAAGGAGGTGCAGCCACTGCCGCTGCTGCTGCAGCAGCAAGCAGCAGCAGCAGCACAGACAGCCCAAAGAAAAATCCTGCTGCAGGCTGCAGCCCTCGCATTCAAACGTGCATATGCAGCTGTCACACGGGAGCTGCTTGATGCTACTGCAGCAGCAAAGCAGCAGTACAAGAAGCACCAGCAGCAACAGCAGCAGCTGCAGCAGCAGCAGGAGCAGAAGCAGGAAGATGGTGGCCTGCCTCCTGCTGCCGGTGCTGCTGCTGCTGCTGCTGCTGATTCCCCCCCGGGTGTATTGACAGCTAAAGAGCTTGCTGCTGTCCTCGCGCAGCAGCATGCAGCCGCTCAGTCGATTGTCGTGGAGGGGTGTGTGGCGTTAACAGACGCGCAGCTGCTGCTGCAGGGGGTAGCAGCAGCAGCAACAACACCAGCAGCAGGACCAGCACCAGCAGCAGCAGCAGCAGCAGCAGCAACAGCAGCAGCAGATGCTCTTGTGCTGCAGCATGTTGTTCCGTGGGTTGAGGGTTTATTTGAATTGTTTGTGCGCCGCGTCGTGCTGCTGACGAAAGATACCCCGGCGGCCTTCAGCGGCTTCGAGCAAATCCTTAGAGAAGCAGAGCAGCAGCAGCAGCAGCAGCAGCAGCAACTGCAGCTGCAGCAGCAGCAGCAAGAGGAGTTGTTGCCGACGATGCAGGTATGTATGTGAAGGGTGTATATAATCCATACATATAGCAGCAGCGCCAGCAGCAGCACGAGCAGCAGCAACAACAGTACTTCATCTGCTGCAGCTGATTTCTTTGTTGCTTTCTCTGCGGTGTATGTACAGGTGGAGGCGACTCTACGCGCTGCCCTTGCATGCAGAGAAGAGAAAAGTGCTGCAGCAGAAGAAGCGCTGCTGCTGCCCCTGGTGCTTCTGGTGTATGTACACATCGGCCGCAGCCTCTACCGAGTCGGCCTGCCCAAGCTGGAGGCCATAGGCTTAGAGCTCTTTCCCTCTCTCTACCCGGGCTGGCTAGGCAGCAGCAGCAGCAGCAACAGCAGCAGCAGCAGCAGCAGCAGCAGCAGCGGCAACGGCTGTCGGAGCGTGTACAGTGGTGGGGTGGTTTCTCTGCACCCCGGGCATGCGGCTTCTGCTGCTGCTACTCCTGCTGCTGCTGCTGCTGCTGCTCGACGACTCTCTGCTGCTGCGCGGCTGCGGGCTGCAGTTCAAAGCCTGATGACGGCCTTCGCCTTCTGCAGAGGCCAAGACGCCTCAGCTGCGACCGTCGGCTCCCTAGCTGCTCTGTACTTGCAGCAGCAGCAGCAGCAACAGCAGCAGCAACAGCAGCAGCAGCAGCAGAACGAGACACAAAATACAGGGGAAGACAGCAGCAGCAGCAGCAGCAGCAAGCTGCCAAGAGGCACCTCTGGATGCTTCGCGCCCCTCATCACGGCTCTCAACAGCTGCAACCAGGAGCTCTCTCTCCTTATGGATGAATCCCCAGCAGGAGCAGCAGCAGCAGCAGCAGCAGCAGGGGCACCATCAGCAGCAGCAGGAGCATCTGGTGGATCTCCGGGTCCTCTGGCTAGCCAAGGTCTGCAGCAGCAGCAGCAGCAACAGCAGCAGCAGCAGCAGCAGCAGCACCGGCGTCTTGGGCGACGCCCCCTCGGGCGCCGCCGCAGCCCCATAGAAGTGGAGATGGAGAGGCTCTTCGCTCGTAAGCAGCGAATTTTTGCTGCTGTGTGCTGCAGCAGAGGAAAAGCATTGATGGCTGTGTTTCGTATAGTGATACGGGCAGTGCTGGAATTTGTAAGAGGCTGCTGCTGCTTCAGCAGGCAGCAGCTGCAGCAGCTGCAACTCGATTGCGCTGCTACTGCTGCTACTGTTCGACTGTACGTACACCCAGACGATGCATCTGTTGTAGATGGATTCTTTGATGAAATCGTTGCCTCTGCAGCGCTCCGCTGCATTCATGTATCAGCAACACCAGGGGGGCCCCCAGGAGGGGGCCTTGGGGGGGGGCCCTCAGGGGCTCCCTCCTCCTTTGGGGCCCTTGAGGGCCCCTGTGAGGGGAGCAGCAGTCTTTTGACTGAGGCTGAGATTGAAGCGATACTGGCAGCAGAAAGAAAACAAAAAAAAGAGGAGGATATTTCTTCTCTTGTACAGATACAAACAAACGAAACTGCAGCCATTTGAAGGTTTTAAATTTTTGCTGAATTTCAGCAAGTTTACATACAAACAAAATATATGAAATGGCATTCAGTTTCTTGTTTTAATGAAATCATATGCTGCTACTGTTTCTGTTGCTACAACTACTGCTGCTGTTGCTACTGCTGCTGCTCCCGTTGCTACTGCTGCTGCTGCTGCTGCTGCTACTTCTGCTGCTGTTCGCGTAGCAGTTTTCTATTTAAATTTCCCCTTGCTAGCCATGCAGAGTATTGCAACTTGTACAGAACAGCAGCAGAAACTGCAAGAAGACGTCATGGTGGAGAAGGGGGGGAATCAGTACAAAGTGAAGAGGCAAATAAATGATTCATTTATTTATTTTTTTATTTTTTATTCATTTATTTACTTATTTATTCATTTGCTTTGACTTGAAATTCAAATATTTTGCCGCAGATAGGGGCGAAACTTGTGTATGTTTATCTATGCGCGTCGCTCTATGCGGTCTCTCATATCTAATCGTTACAAATAAAATTTTATGTTTTATTAAATTTATTAAATTTAAATTGCAAACGCAAATATAAAATAAATAAATAAAGTTGAACTGCGTTCAAAATATTTTTGTATTATGCTGTTCTGCTGAGCTGTTCAGGGGGCTCTTCTTTCTTTGCTTTTTTCTTTCATCGATGAATTTGAATTTAAATTTCAGCATATTTAATATTTCTGCATTGTTGGCGGTAATTTCTGCTTTCTATAGTTTTTATTTTGCTGTGATTCAGAGCGTTTCTGTTGAGGCATCGACGCCTGGATGCCTTCGTTTGTTTTTGCGTTTCGTTTGTTTCAAGTTCACTCTTTATATTAAATGCTAAATAAAACAACAAATAGCATTATATTAAATACACAGACAAAAAATAAATAAATAAAAACGACCAAGAGGCGTTCAAATACCGCTTCCTTTCTCTCCCCTTTTCATTTTCGTTTATTGCGGAACACTTTCCCTCGTTTGACAACAAATTAACGAATAAATTAATAAATAAATTAAATAAATTAAATAAATTAAATAAATTGTATTTTTATTTGGTAATTGCACATAATATAATCGATGTTTCCGTCGGTTTCCCTTCGTATTCATCTTTGTTTCCGCGTGCATTCGGCGATGAATTTATTGAACTTTTGTTCTGTGTTTATATCTTCTGGGCGACATTCTGCTGCTTTTCTTCCTTCTGATAGAACCCAAACACGATCACAACCCCTCAAGGATGCGAGATGATGTGCAACAATAAAAACGCAGCTTTGTTTAAAATGCCGTTTCAGAATACTCTCCATAGAAGAAAACAACTCTTCCCCATCTATTCTATTTCCCCTGCGGGGTGTATGTACACTTCTTCTTTCTATTTCTCCTTCTTTTTCCTTTTCTCTCTCCTCTATACCTTCTGCTGCAAGCCCCACCGCCTCCGCCCACAGCTCCTCAGCAGGGGGTTCGTCTATCAATACAACCCTCAGACTTTCCTCTGCTAGCACAAGCCTCGCCAAGCCTAGGTACCGCAGCTGTCTGACGGAGAGGCTTTGAACTTCAGGGGGGCCCTGGGGCCCCCCTGTGCGGGTGCTACTTGGATGCGCAGCAGCAGAAGGAAAAGCAGCAGCAGCAGAACCAGCAGCAGCAGCAGCAGCAGAAGAAAGCTGTTGACGCTGACTATTGAAAGAAAGAAAACCCGGAGAAGAGCTGCTGCTAATACCCCCCCCCTTTATTACTGTATTCAAATGAAGGCCCCCAGGCAGAGAACGAACGACACCAAGCAAACCCACTGCAGCCAATGCCCTCCATATTGCTTCATCTTCATGGACGTGCTGATCGCAGAAAAAGAAAAAGAAAATAAAAATATAAATAAAAATAAAATATAAAATAAAATATAAATAAATTAATTAATATCGTCGATATAGTTTCAGTATCATAACATACAAACACCAACAGAAATAACACACATATCTATACATCCATACATCAAGGGGATGCATGCATGTTTATACAGATGCATGCATGCATGCAAATGTATGTATATGTATATTTATGTATATGTGTGTATATTGTGATGTATGCATGCATGCAAATATATTGCGATGCATGCATGCATGCAAATATATTGCGATGCATGCATGCATGAGTATTTGTGTATATTTAGTTTTACTTGCTTAGAGTAAGGACAACACTACATAATTATATATATATATATATATATATATATATATATATATATATATATATATATATATATATACA